GAATGACGATGATTAAATATTCATTCGAGAAAATTTAGTGCTCGGGCGTGTAAAAGCCATGACTTTTTTTTTTATGGGCAACTTCTTAGGGTCATAAGCTTTCTCACGAAGGGCATGAGAGGTATATGAACTGGAAATGACAGGGAGGTATACCGATGACATACCGCTTTGGCTGCGGTGTACTATAGACCAATTCTATATTTCTAAATAGGGGTATACATGAATCGGAATGTGAGCAGACAACATGGAGCGTTTCGTAACAGCTCAGATCCTACGACACTCAACGAGCTACAGGATAGGCTTAGCAGCTCTGGATGAGGGGCGTTTTACGGAGGTGAAGCCAGCTTGCCAATACAAGGCCACAAAAGGGCAACATCAATTTTAAAAGGTGATACCATTTTACGAGCGTTTGTTGCCAGCGGGAATGCCCCTTTGAGGCTGCATTACAATAATAATAATAATAATAATAATAATAATAATAATAATAATAATAATAATAATAATAATAATTGTTATGGTTTCGCGCCCTTAAAATCACCATATGATTTCTAGAGACGCCGAGAGCTTCGGGAACTTCGAGCATTTGGGATTGTATAACGCGCTCCTAAATATAAGCACACTGACCTCGAGCAATAATAGCTTTCCCCGAAAAGGCCACCGTGGCCGGGCTTCCATACCGTGACTTGCGGGCGAGACCGAATTGCATGCACGTTAGCTATTTCGCGTAACTTTCCTTTGTATTGTCTGTTATTCATTCTTCTCCTGCCCCAAGAGTATATACCTAATCAATGTTTGTAATGAGGGGTGGACGCCGTCGACATATATACTGATGTGCTTGTATATACCAACGTCAAGGCGCGTATATGTGCCGCCCCGCCCAAAGCTCGCCACCACCGTCTATGATCACACGACAACTGGCATGTGATTACAGTGAGGCATCCCCGAAGCGCTGTGCTCAGAGGCAGCTTTGCAGCTGCTGTGCCACTTGTGACGACGTCGCTACAAGCGCTTCAGTATATCGACGGCACTTGTAATAGGAATATATAGGCATTAGTCAATGTGGTTCCCACCCACATACTATATACGGCTATTCGCGACTGGTGAGTACTGATGACAAGTAAAGTCGTTAAGTGAATAAGGGTTGAGAGAATACAACTGGACGCTTTTTTTATTTCAAAGCCATCTCTTAAGTATTGTAATTAGTGATATCAAAATAAACATGAAAAGTTTGCCTCGTGTGTCAAGTTTAACAATGAACGGTTGTAAGGTCCGTGAAACCAGTCGTCGAGGTCGGGTGACTGGCCAGGCCTGACACCTGTTGAACGGAGGTCCGCTCAACAGCCACGGAGGAGAACTCAATAGATCCTGTAGAAATGTGAACAATTGTCCCCTATGCATAAATCGTTCTCGCTAGCCTGATGACCAAGTACGCTGCTGATCAGTCAGGCGTGACACTTCTGCGGCGCTCGTCGTAGCCGACAATTCGGCACCGAGTTTATCGAAGGAGAACGTCGTGTTCGTTCCTGAGCGCGGGTGGTGGGCGTGCCTTATTGGTCAACTTTGCTCTTGTATAAACCGCGACTAGGGACAAACTGGAGAGGCTGTAGCGGTATATGCCTTCAAACCGGAGATAGTTTCGAAGTTTGCGGCTGTTTGGGGACGCAGTTGATCGCACCATGAAGAGAGGAAATTTCTGCTACTGCGTTTTACGACGACCTTTGTTTTGTCGTATAGACGCAATCATTTAACGTGAATTAGTGCACGTGACTTACTAGCTCCAAGTAGGTGCAGACCCTCAATTTCTGAGGCAGCTCGATGCATGTTTTGCCTGTTAAATGTATACTGTTGTATACTTGCTGAAAATCAGTGTGTGATGTACAGATATTCCGGGATAAGCAGCTTTACCAAAATTTAGGCAGATGTCGCTGCATATGTGATAACTGCTGACTTCTCCCTAATATGTTATTAGAAATGGGCACCAAATGAAGATAAAGTTGAAAGCCATGTTGAGAAAGAACTATATTGCAAGGAAAGCAGAATCATGTTAAGTAAACTTGCCAGCAATATACTAAAGCGTGAAGCAATGTTTTATAGTGCAGTGTGCACTGCAAATTGCATTGCGGAAGAAAAGCGGTGTATTTTACAGACAATACAGGAAGCCGAATGTTACGTTGAAAGAAATTATTCAATAAAGAAGTCTCACTGTGCATGTGCAGGGTTTATTTTGCATTTTATGTAGGGTTTAACGTCCCCAAACCACCATATCATTATGAGAGACGCCGTAGTGGAGAGCTCCGGAAAATTTGACCACCTGGTGTTCTTTATGGTGCATTCAGACGACGGACCAAATCCGGATTTGTCGTGGACGCGGACAGCTAATCCGCGGATGGTCCGCCTGCAGGCGCATCCACACGACGGACGGTGTCCTAGGGGAAAACAGCCGGATTACCCTCGACAGCAGATTCGGCGCTCACCTGCGCCCGCTGGCAGCAGACCGGTTTGAGAGTATTCAACATGGATGCCCGCAAAAAGCGAAGCTTGGCTGCGATGTCTGTCGTGTTGTGACAAATGAACGAGTAGTGTTGTTCTTTCAGGAGAAAAGGGAGTTGCTGGCAGGATATTCTTTCAACTACATTATTCCCCACTTGTAGAACTTCTAAACGTGTCTCCCACCTTTTTTTTTTTTAGAAGCGGCACGTCGCCGGTTGCAGAAGTTGGAATATTTCACCACCATGACGGCTAAGAATCTCGCGTGTTAAGCGACGGCGGCGACATTTCCCGAACCACCAAAAGTGATTTCTGTATATTTAATCACCTGAGAACAAAGTCTCCGTAAACTAAGTAAACAATGCTCAAGCGTAGATGATGCCGACCAGTCATGCAGCTGTCCGCGAGCCATGGAGGACATGCCGCGAGCAGACGAAAAGTGTACTGGTTGCCACCGACCCCAAGCTATTCCGCTGAAGTACCGGCTCTCCCCCGCCAGAATCCCGATGTGAGAAACAGGTTGGGTTCATCCGTCCGCGAGCCGCGCGGACGAGTCGCGGACGAGGAGAATCGCTGATGTGAGGTCACGTGACGCGCCGTCCGTCCCGCCACATCGGGATTCGATCCGTCGTCTGAATGCACCATTAGCGTGCATCCAAATCCGAACACACGGGCCTGCAGCATGCGCAGAGTTTGTTAACGCTCAACAGGTGCGTATTATGCTACAAACTCAGTTAAATGTTTCTTTGCGCACATGAACGGTAGCAAAATACCCTTATCTACTGCTTTGTCATGAATTGATTCATGCTTAACAATTAGGTCTTTTAATTAAATCTGTCCAGCATATATGTCATTCGAAAATCAGTTACTATAGATGTAACAATGCCTTGTTTTACGATGAACATCAAGCTATCCGATACAGAAAGCAACTTGTCTGCTTGAAAGTAAAGTCGGCCAAATCGCTCACTAGATGGCGTTGTGTGCCGATGTGCAAAATTGTATATAAGATTACTAGATGGCGGTAGGGTATTGTTATAGTTGATGTATAAAGGGGGGGGGGTCGGACAGATGGATGGATGGACTGACTGACCGACGGATGTTGGTCCATAGGTCGGTCTGTCCACCTGTCTGGATGTCGTTCTGTCTGTCTGTATGGACGGACGGATGGATGGATGGACGCTTTGCGCTAATAACTGTCATTAACTTCGTGGATATGATGCTATTTTTCTGCGTATTTTTGCCATACGTCTTAATAATGTTTCAGTTGAATTAAGAATAAGTGTATGCCCAAAAAGCACTTGTCCGCGAAGCAATTTTTTGTAATTTAGTTCTATAATATGGGGCTGACAGACAAAAAAGTGGTCGCTGCGTACAGTAGTTCAAGTTTTGTTCGACTGTACATGGTAAAAGGCCTGGGAAGCGTTCTATTAAAGTAGAAAAAAAAGATTAATTGCTGTTGTTTTGCCGGCATATTCAGCCTTAGGAATTATACCAAGAGCTGGTGCTAAGGGTACATTCCGAAGTTCACTTCGCTTGTTGCAAAGCATACCACTAAACCACTGACCTAATAAAGTACGAATCTCCCCTCAATATATTAGTTAGAACGATTCATATTGTGTATAATAAAAAAAAAACGAGTACATGCAAAAATAACGCTGTACAGAAATTTCCCTGCCGGCCTCCACTGCTGGGCTATAAATATTGTACATAATGTCGATCCGTTGTTATAGTGTATTTATTATGTATTGCAGTGTTTTAATAATCAAAAGCTTCTAAATTTACACTTCTTTCCTCCGTCAATCTATAAATATTTTTTATGAAAACGGTGAACCTCATTTTGTTTCACCAAAATTAGTTGATTCACTTTGCTAGGTATTATACTGAACCAATAAAATTAGTACACGACCAGCCTCTTTGCGCAGGCATTCGTGCTCACCATAAACGCAAATACGAACTCCATTTAAGAAAAGGTACCATGTAAGAAAATGAAGAAAAAAAAAAAGAATATAAAACTGGTTGCTATGTTGAAAAGGAGCGCATTGCATCTCGGAGCCAGCTCGCCTCTCTTCAGCACATCCTGGGAAAGGGCACAGTGCGCGCTTTCGGCGAGCACGTGCACGCGTTTGGCGACGATGAGGGCGCTGGAACGCTGAAAGCGAGCAAGCGGCGGCAGGCGGAGAGTTCCATAGCGCGAGGGAAGCGGGGAGGAAGAGGAAGGGACGGAGGGAGTCGGGCGGTGCGACGGCGGATGCATGAAACGAAGGCCGGCAGGCGCTCCCGCTGCGAGACGGGCTTGCACGGCGGCGCTGTTTCTCTCGGTGGCGGGCCGGCCTCTCCGCCGCCTCTCTTCCCTCGCGACGGCATCTCCTCCCTACTTTTCTTGCGCTTTGCGCGCGTGGCGGGATCGTAACCCCACGCCCCCTTTCTCCCTAAAGATGGGGGAGCCGCGGCAGTGGAACGGCAAACGTGGCGTGATCTCTGAAGCCGGTGCGTGCTAGCAGGCGCGCCGGAGGATGCAGCAGTCTCAGCCTCTGCCGTCGGTGGTACCCGCGGCGGTGGAAGGATCTCCGCCTCTGCAGTCTTCGACAATGCCAGTCGCTTCAGTGACGGCGCACAAGCCTTCCCGTTTCTCGCTGTACAGCATCGAGAGGCTGCTCGCCGGAGCGGCGGCACACGCGGCCACCACGCCGTCGTCCGTGGCCTCTTCCGTGCTGGACTTCAGCATCGCTCAGCACCCGTCGGCTCGGATAGGTGCGTGAACGTGCACACTTACCCTCGCAACTCTCTTATCACCGTTGTACGGTCTTTTCGATCCATACGCACTAACATTTGAGACCTCATGCATTGTCACCCTTAATGATGAGCCAAATTGTTGCTAGATTTGCATACAGTGCGCTGCTTCAAAATCTTCTCACGTTTCCTTCCCTGACCGTTAACGAAGTTATTTCTGCAGGTCTCCAGTAAAGTTTTTCATCCGTCCGGGACAGACTTTCACTTCTGCATGGTTTTCGGCTATCGAATTAGTTTGTCAGTAGTTTCGTTTGCTGTCGCGTTAGTTTTTGTAAGCTAACCTTTGTGTACGTTCGACTGTCTTTTACTGGCTAGAAGAACAAGAACGCAGAACGTAAGAAAACAATTTGCTCTTTCTCTCACTTCTCATGTAACACTGCATTATATTTGAGGGTAGAGATACATCGTGGTTTTAGGATAACGAAAGCAACGTTTTGTTCGAGACGTTATTGTTAGCCTTGCTTCGCTGTTAAGGGCATACGAAAGTAAATTCTCGCTTGATAAACAATTCTTCAATTTCAGTTTATAATTCTGTTGGTCGTGCGATTCCTAGTTTTCCAGGGCACGAATTGGTGATAAGAGGCGGACATTTACCTCAACGTGTAGTTTTGTGACCCTGCAACATTACGTCGTGTACTACTGGTAAATGTAGATCTCTACAAAATCATAGTGATAATCACGAAATGCGTATTTCCATTCAGAAAAAAGATTGACATTGCATGACAGGAGATGAACTTTCGACATGCTGATAGAGTAGTAGTGTGACACTTCCCTTTATAAATGCACGTTTAAAAAGATTCAATCCGAGAGAAGTACACATGACGCAGTACATATGAGTACCATGTGAGGCTAGGATGAACCAGCTGCGAATAACGATTACATGAAATTCCTTCAACGTGTACTGTCCTCTTATTTGCAGTCATATACCCCAGTACCATACCGCCCGTACGGTGGGGTTCTTCAGTTTAAGTATCATCATCATAATCACGCACATGCTCGGAAGCTCCTCACATCGAGATGAAAATCACCCCACGGCTGTCTGTGTACACAAGCTGAATCAAATAAAGGAGCCTCCAATGCCGCTTCAGGAAACAAGATGACAGCACCTATTCACAAGAAAGCAGAGGTGCTTAAAGCGCTCAGGAATTTGTCATGTCGTACGCGAAGCTATCGAAAGCACTGACGTTGGTTCTTTCGCACGACGTTATGACGTGAAACGTTCAAAAAGAAAGAAAATGAGCACCGATACATGTGCGTAGCGGCGAGCGCTATAGCAACAGGTGGGTCGATCTGTTCAGACCTGCGATCGTGGTCTGCAGCTGCTACGCCTGAGTGTGCAATCTAATGCAAATGTAACCGGTACACATTACCGCACATCAGCAAACCAGTGTATAATTGAATAAAGGGAAGTGAAGGAGCATTCTTAGTAGGGCAAGTAGTTGATTAATATTGTGGCACAACAGTGCAAACGACGCCACCAAAACATACAGGACACAGCGCTGACTGTCAACTGATTTCTTTAATGTAAAGGTGGAGATTGTAAAGGCGAACAATTATAAAAAAAAACGTACGAACGCTATCGAGTCACGCAACCGGCTAGAATATTTGTTAATTCTGATAAGGGTTTACAGAATGCGGCAAATGCACATATCGTGAACACGTGAACATAAAAACAAAACAAAACATGGCAAGAAAACAATGACATGGCAGTTGGTACGAAATTGACTGGAATTGCTAAAACCAGACATTCATAAATCAACAACAACCAGGGTGTAACGAAAAGGGTTTATGAGCAACTGACACCAAGGCTGGAAAAACTAATCACGAACAGTAAAACAGTAAATAAAACAATAGAAGATAAGCTAAAGCATATGACAACAAACTTGGGGATCATAGTTGGAGCTCTGGGTATCTATTTTTTTTATTTTTCGTCAAAGAGTGATAGTGGTGGCGTGCTGACACCTGCTGCTTTCCTTTTATGAATTATGTGTGCCTCACTAATTTCGCATGCGCATGGATGCTGATATTTCTTTTTTGTTGGACCCCAATTCTTTGTTTTTTGTTAATTTATGAATATCTGGTTTTAGCATTTTTGATCAGTTTCGTACTGACCGCCATCTCATCGTCTTCTTGCCACCGCCCCCCCCCCCCTTTTTTTGATCATGCTGACGTACGTGTTCATAAAATCTGCATTTGCAAACTCTCATGAAAATTGATAGAAATCCAGGCCGGCTAAATCACTAGATGGCATTCCTATACCATTTTTCGATAATTGTTCACCTTCCTATATATTCTCATGCTCATTCTTTATTTCTTTTGTAAAATGTCTATGCAATGGTAGGAGCCAGAAACTCTGTTCTCTCTGCAGTTTTTCTAATAAAAAAAATCATGATTTTTAGCGCTGTGTCTTGTACAAAGTTCACCCCGTAATTTGCGCTGTTTCGCCACAAAATAGAAGAGAAGTCTCTCAAGTTTTGTTCTGTAAAAAAGCGCAAGCTATTGCATGCATGCTTGCGGATTGTATAATACATTTATGATACAATTTTTCAAGCTGAGAGCTTCTTTCAAACTGGTAGCTTGAACAAACCCACAGAAATTGTCGCTTCGTATAAAATATTGCTGGCATATTTATCAAGACAGATCATGCCGTAATGTGGCTTCATTTTAATGAAACCACATGACTGCACGAGGTGAAGTTGGCGGTATAGTTAGGCAACAAAAAGGAAGCATGGATGCCTGATTGTGAAACTTTATAACCATTTATGACGTTTGCCTTACGGTGGTCAGTAAGGCGACAGATAGGAGAAAAGTTGGACGACGCTTCAGCTGCGCCTTAAGAGCAGAGCTTCGCCTCAAGTGCAGAAGGTGATGGCCTAATCGAGCACCGTTCTCATCGCCTTCTGAATTGGTAGCCTCTCGTCGCTTCTCGCTCAACCGTGCCACTAGCAAAGTAACATCTGTGCAAGTAACACTGGCCGTTCAAAACTATCAGAATGCCTACTGCGAGTTCAGTTGGGAAGTTCTCACTATGCCATATTTGCTCCTTTTCCGAACCAGCCAGGTCACCCATATATGCGTTCATGAGGCATCATGAAAAGGCACCCATCAGTTGCTCTCTTCATTGATCATTTTGCTGATAATAATAATAATAATGATAATAATAATGATAATAATATTGATAATAATGATGGAAGACAGTGCTGCTTGCGGTCATTGCGGCAGCGATGAAACTATAGAGCACGTTCTCTGTCGCTGCCCTAGTTACAGCGTGCAAAGACGGCAACTATAGCTGCTGCGTTAGCTCGCCTTGACGACAGACCTTTGTCTGAACAATCAGTGCTGGAAAGACGACATGATTTGTGTGCTCACAGAAAATCAGTGAAGGCCTTACTGAACTTTTTGCGTGGCAGCGGCCTATTGTATAGACTGTAGCACCCCAGCTCCCCCCCCCCCTTTTTTTTTGCGCGCGTCTATTCCCCTCTTCGCTTTCTTTCCCATCTTTCTTCACCATTCCCCCTTCCCCTAGTGCAGGGTAGCAAACCGGATGCTCCATTTTCTGGTTAACCTCCCTGCCTTTTCCTCATTTTATTCTCTCACTCTTGCTGATAATACTGCGCGCTTTGTAATGGGTGAGTATTCACACCCCTCGCCTGTGTTATTGCCACGTCCTGACGACACGACCAGCACGATTCTAATCCTCTGCCACGCCACAACGCATGAGTTGGGGAGATTTTGACATTATACGTCATTCGTACAGAATATTTTTTTTTGGGGGGGGGGGGGGGGGGAGCCGTTTTAAGCAATGGCGTGGTAGAAACAGCTGCTTGCCACGCCGGAGGCCCGGGTTCGATTCCCGACGATGAAACCGAATGTTTTGTTGTTTATTTATTTGCATGTATATAAAATTTTCGCTCATAAAAACATTGTTTTTTTTGCTCACAACCAACAATGCCGACGTTATTTCCTCAAAACGAGCTATTTAACGCGATCATGTTAAAACACGTAGGGGTGTTAGAGGGGGGAAAAATAATTGTTCTTGTTTTTGTACACTGCACTGGAGGAAACAATTCATGGACGAGAAAGGACTGTGTATTCTGCAAGCAGCACTTATATATATATATATATATATATATATATATATATATATATATATATATATATATATATATATATATATATATATATATATATATATATATATATATTGGTTGTAGTGCCATCAGCACTGCGATTACGCAGTGCATTCTGTCATATCATTTGACTAGTTATGGCAGTTTGTCTTGAAAACTTTTTTGTTTTATTTCTTCCGTGGGTCTTTTGATTAGCCCACTTCGTATCTGCATGAGTGGTAAATATGATTGTCCTATACGCAGTGTAATCCAAAGGATATTTGCTATCGTTAGCCCTCTAATATCATCGTTCTCTGTTTTCTTCTCTGCAGTTTCGTTTTGTGGATGACTTGCAGTCGCGCGTCAACCGATTAGAAGTTAGTGCACAATAGTCTTCACAAATACGCGCTAGTCCCATGGTTATTCTGAGCAATGCTTCTGTGGTATCAGTCTCCTTATGTTGGTCTTCCAGTACATTTTTTATAAAAAGAGCTACGATTCGTATATCGGGTTTCGAGCCAAGCCGTAAAAAGTAATCGCGCATGTAGGCGACTCAACAATGTTAGAATTTTGGAAGACGACAGGCTTGTGTAACCGGCTGTGAACTAATTATGATGCCGTATATCAAACAAGACTATACACAAGACTGTCTATCTGACTGTGACGTCGTGTTTGTGTGTTCCTCGCCTTCCGTTTCCTCTCTCTGTCTTTCTCTGTGCACCTGTAACTTTCAAACACCCCTGTCCATCTTCCCGGAATATGACAGCATACAGACTGTTCTCTACTAGTTAATCTTTCTTCCATTTTCCTTCTCTCCCGTTTCCTACCTTGCTTCATCAAAGTGGAACGACTGCAGGCTGTTTAAATACTTTATTTTCTGTACATCATGCCCTTTTCTTCGCCTCCTTCTCATTCTTTATAACAACAAATTTTTCAGCAAAATAAGTGTGCGACAGCGACCAATCAATCAATTAATCAATCAATCAATCAATCAATCAATCAGTCAATTGTGCTTCTTTCCGTCCAGAGGCTGCGGGCCATTTTCAAGGAGCATTGAACGGCCGCTCAAAAGGCAGCACTGCAGCTTCCTCGGACAAGATCTCCACTCCATCGCTCTCCTACAATGGTGACAAGGGGCCGTCATCGTCTCTGCATCAACATCACCAGCAGCAACAGCAAGCGGCAGAAGACGGTGGACTGTCCGGTAAGCCTCGCAAGATCCGCCGGAGCCGCACCACGTTCACCACATTCCAGTTGCACCAGCTGGAGCGCGCTTTCGAGAAGACGCAGTATCCGGATGTGTTCACAAGGGAAGACCTGGCTCTGAGGCTGGACCTCAGCGAGGCTAGGGTACAGGTGCGCTATGCTTCCCGTTATTTTATCTGTGCTGTGCGTGCGTGCGTGTGTGCGTCTGTGTGTGTGTGTGTGTGTGTTTGTAGGAGGGGGGAGAGTAGGGAGACGGAGCAATACTGTATTGATAAACTGCACCAAATGCGTATAGGCTGATTCGGCTTGCGGATTTTTCACAGTGATTGGCGTGCACGTTTTTTGTCGACTATACATACTTAAGAATGATGTCGCGAATACTTGTTGAGTATTTCGTTTGCCTGTTTTGAATATTAATTTATTTACTCTCCTCCCCCTTCCTCCCCTTTACTGTCATTGTAACTTTCTGTATAAAGTCCAATAGGTAATATTGCCCCACACATCGTGTGTTGGCGCGAGTAAAAAAAAAAAAACGCAAACGCGGGGAGGCTCTGCTGCAGCCACGCAGCCACGCTCGTGGCTGAAGTAGAGGTGAAACAGGCCGGCCATCTCCGTTGTACGAAGGGTACACATGCGATAACATCAGCCTGCTTGGGAGCCCTGCATTCGATGGCTCCTCAAGCAAACAGAATGTGCCCCAGCCATTTTTCAGCCTTTCTGTATGAGTAAAGAGTTGATTGCTCAGGCAGCAACTACGAACTATACATTAGGGCGTGGTCACGAGATATGTCCACAGCCATGCTCTCAGTGAGTAGCTTACGTCGTGTTTCGAGTAATCACATCGAGCACTATTAGGTCCCTGAAGCTTCCGTATTTCCTTAAACCAGCCTTTTGTTGAGTTACGCGAGATCGGACCCAGAAGAGTTAGCTGCTAGCCTTCGCGTGACATTCCATTTTGTTGCTATCGCATGCATCACTTCACCCATGTGGGGGAACTGCAAATTTTTTTTTCGACCCCTTTTCCCCGTATTTTTCGATTCCGAGTTTCAGAGTAACCACTTCCTTATTTATTTTAATGCTGTTAGCATCGGAAGCGGAGTGGCACAAGATGCATCACATCAAACCTTAGTTGAAGCCGGGCAGAAGATGCGGATCATGGAAGGGAAGGCATGATGTTAAAAGTTTCACTGGGAACTGTTGAGGTGGCATCCGACTTGCGTAGGAACGGAGGAAAAAAAACAAAAAAACTTCGGAACTTTTAAGCTCCGCCTTTAATATCCTGTCCTTTGCGCGTACTTCACACTAATTGCATGAAATATTTTCAAACTTGCTAGGCACCCACTACGTGGCCTTAAGGGAATAGACGCAGTGACGTGTGTGCCTTTTGTAGTGGGTGACAGGTTTTAAACCATGATGTCATTATGACAATCACATGTACTGACGCCAGATGGCAATGTACGCGGGTACCACACATATTACTCCAATAGTTCATGGTGTATTGTGAAGCATGCATAAAGGATGTGTTAGTTTGTAAAGCATGAAAGTTATTTTCACTGCAGTTTCAAGCAGAGGAAGTTACTTTCACGGCATTCACAGGCGGATGCGTGGTTGTGTGATAGAACATCCGCTTGTCATGCAAATGATCGAGCTCGATCCCCACTATATCCCAGGATATCTTTAATATTTAATTTATTTGCATCGTTCGCAATTTTCGTCACGCATAAGATGACGATTTTTCGCTCACAATGAACGACGCCAACACCAGAATTTCTGCGAAGCGAGCTTCTTTAACGCTATCGCGTTAAAGGTATAGCACGTGCCCGTTAAACACCGACGCATTTTAACGTATGAACTTAAGTGAAAGAAGGCACAGATTATAGAAAAGTTATCACGCAGTGGCATGTGATAGCGCGGTGTCTTAGGCGTAACACAAAGTATAACCGACGAGAAAAATTATGTTATGGGAAACTACGCACCAAAACGTATGATGTGACAACGAGGTGTGTCCTCGTAAGTGCATCGGATTAATCTTGACCGCCTTGAATCAATTCTTTAATGTACACGTAAATTCAAGGGCATTTTCCCCATTTGAATTAGTTTCTTGCATTTCGCGCACATCAAAATACAACTGCCGTAGCCTGCCGGAGATCCAACACCAAGGCGACATCTTGTAGTCACTAAAATAAAGCGGCACGTCAAACGAAAACAAAACGAAGCGAACAAGAAAGGGAAAAGAAGCTGTCTTCCCTCGACTGCCTAATGAGCCATCCTATTTCACTGAACAGATGCAGAAAGGGCTCCGAAAGAGCAAACGCCACTTGATGTAGGGTGCATTTATGCCCCTATATAGCACCTGTATATAGTGTCGCGAACGAATCAAGAAATAAGAGGATCGGCGTGTGCCGCAGTATGCGATACTGCTGCATAGACAGTGGGGAGTAGTAGCCTGTATTGGTTAGGCTGCGGCACTCACTGTGACATAGATGGTAAAGTGGCACAAGGTTTTTTATTTTTTTTCTCCCATCTCCGATGGCTCCAGAAAAGTACTGCTGCACACGGGATGGGGAAGTGGGTGCTTTCACGCCTCTTCTGATTGGCTAATGAAATCACTGCTGCGCATGCCGTGGCGACTCGTAAACGCGTTTTTCCCTGGGAGCGGCACGGCGGCAAAGCAAACACCCAGGGCGCCCTCTCTTTGACGGAAGAAGAGAGGGGAATACGGGGGGGCTCGCACGCAGGCGTCGGGACATTCGCAATAAGGCCCTTTTCCGGCAGCCCGTCATCATCGACCGACTCAAGCGGCGTCTCGTATTTGACCTGGCCGGAAATGACGTCACGCCCGGAAGCGCGACGCTAATGCACGGGCTGCCGCCGCCACGCGGAAAAGCGCGCACCCCCGGCGGCGGCTGGAGTTTTTCCTTCTCTGCATGCGGCCCCGTCCTGGTTCTCTCACGACCCAACTCGCCTTTTAACACCCCTTTTCACACCCTCTCCATGAACTCGCCCTTTCACCTTCGTTCATTTTGTCAACGCCTGTGCGAGAATGCTGTGACACCCAACGCGCCGCACCCTATGTACGCCCTCACTTTATTATTATTTTTTCCCCTCTCAACTTCCATCTCTCTCCTACATCCACTTCACTTACCTCTCTCGCCTCTCAGAAACTCATTTTGAGCGGACTTACTTAGCGGCCAAACTAAATTAGGGTGCCAACAGCTTCACCTACTCTTCGCTCTCGACCAATAAGCCGCTGCCTCCGCTCGTCAACCTTCTTTCTTTTTTTTTCTTTTTTTCTTGAAATGACTGTTGTTGTGAAAAACGAGGAGTGGGAGAGAGAGAGGGATGACGTCGCTTATTGACCCACCTCAAGAATCATGGCTGTACACAGCAAAGGCGATTATGTTCATAGATCCGTCATCAACCTCGTAATAAGGGACACATCTTTTTTTTTTCTCTGCATCCTTGTTTCCGTCGCTTGTCGGAAGCTCATCGCACTTTTTGTGAACTCGCGCCATGTCCTTGCGAATATCCCTTGATGCACATTACTCGTCCTGTCTACATTAAGCGTCCAGCGGAAGAGGAGGAGCGGATGGGCGACGCTCTATTCAGTATAGCACTTATCTGCCCGCACTCATTCAGCGTTTCACTTGTTCCTGTATTCTCGTAACGCAGTTTCCCTAAGAAACATACCGCCTCTAAGCTCTATCCCGAGAACTGTATAAACACATCTATAGAAGAGAAAGCAAACTGAAAAAAGTATCCGCTCCCGGAGAAAAGAATAATAATAATAATAAAGAAATCACGATGGCACACGAGCTGCTTATGAACACTTAATTTGCGTCCTTCATCCTGCAGAGAAGAGCAAAGCGCAGGGCAGTAGAAAAAGGGAGGGGTGTGTGTGTGTGCACCGGCCTCTTATTAAGCGAGACACCCAGGGCAAATGGCGATTAGTTAACGTCTTTTTCGAGGCGTTCGCGGGGACACGGAGGGCGCTGAAAGGCGCTAAGTGGCTATTCGCCTGCAATAACGTTTTCTCGGGGGAGGGGGAGGGGGGTGCTACTGCCGCGTTGCTTCATTGACGGCACTTAGCCTTGTTCCAGCGTGCCCCCCGCCCCCCGTTTCATCGTCTCCCTCGACCAGTACAGTGTCATCTTCCCTTTTGTCGTCTGCTTTTATCGTCTGCTCTTTTGTCTTCCAAAGCTTTGCTTCGTTCCCGCGCCTCTTTCCTTACATCCCCAAGCTCCCCTCTTCTCCTTCTTGAGCGGACATGTCCACCGTTTAGCCTTTTCTTTCTGCTCAGGTCGTTTTCTGCGTCACCTATAGTTTCTTTTTCGGCAACAAGGGTTACTTACCTTGTTGCCTTTGTCTCTGCAGCTTCTTCTCCCTGCGTAGCTGGAAGCAGCCTTTAATCGATGGAGGCGTCACGGTTCCCTTTGTGTTATCCGGCTCACTTTCGGTTAGTCTTTCTTCGCTCTTCACGCCGACTAGCTCTGCTCCGCTGCTTGATTTTTATCTTCGATGCTCGCTCTTTCGTTTTTATCGCTTGTGAGTTTTTATCTCTAGCACGATGTACCCGGGCCTTGTTTCTGGTGATTAACTGGCACGAAGAGAGAAATTTCTGCGGCTCGGTCGTCGAGGCTTCTGTGGTGATTTCTTTTTTTGGGGAAAGAGAAAAGACAGAATGAGAATAATGAGGAAAAAAAGTGGGAACATAATTCAAAAAAATGAAGGCCAAGTAACGGGATTGTTTTATTAATAAGATGAACTCGCCGCTCGACCTCTGAAAGGCGGGCTCGTTTTATTAAACATGGCGACCATGAAAGCATTGCCGAGAGGAAGCGCGCTCTCGCGGCGGGAATAGAATTTGCGTTTAATAAAGGGGGAGATGTTTCGAAACTTACATTTTCCATTTTACTTTCTGTCGCTGCTACGTTTCGCGAAGATTAGCTAAGAATTCGGCATAATCGATTCATTTTGCGCGCTAATCGTCTTCGTTGAAACACTCGATTGGCAAGAAAACGCGTTTTATGTTTTTTGTTTCCTGTAAGCGCATCTTTTTCTCTTATTTTGTAAAGCTATACCCACTGAAATAGTATGCGTTAAAACGTACATATACAATGTGCAGAATAATAATTGATTTCATTGATGTATTTTTTTTCTGTTCGATACTCGAATGGGATTGTCGATTGCATTGTTATGCGTTCTTTTCTTTGTTTTTGTGAAACATTATATTCGGCGTTTATTCTTTACCAGTGAAGGCTGAGTGTTGTTAGGCAACGTTATTCCCTATCTACATAAGTGGCTATCGTAAGTTGCTATTGAACATGACTTTGCTCTGTAGATTATGCGTAGTTCTTCAGCAGCGTTAGAAGAGGCGAAGTCTGTTTGTTTTGCCGAATGGGACGCACCGTCAGTGCTATGCGCAGCTGCCTTGACGGCTAATCAAAGATACACCTTGTTGTACCTCCTGCTGCTGGTACAGGTATGGCTATACATAAAGAGTAGGCTCGCGTGCTATATACATAAGCTTAAACGTTTCCAGAGAGCTAGTGTGCGTATATATGGTGTGGTCTGAGTTGTAAACGTCCTGGCGATGTATTTGCGATATTAGCGCAACAAGAACGTATGCTAGATTGAGAAACACCGTGCTGTAGAAAATTTACATACATATCTACGGAGATAGTAGCGGAAAATTGCTGAAGCCTTTATCATTCACAAGTCAGGTGACGTATGTGTTGCAAAGATATACTACACTAAGCGTAATTAAACCGAGTACCTCAATACGCATGCGTATATACTCGTAGATGTTTGTGAAATTTAACCTTTGTGTGGCGTCATCTGAAGGTTTTCTTTTGCTATGGGCAAAGCCGAATTCCCTCGCCGCTCCATGGTATACGTGGTACCCAACCAAGACAGTGTGACTTACGGAACGTCTGTTTGCCGCAGCATTGAACTTGCATGCAGTACTCATGCGCATTGTACGTTATATACGAACGGGAGGCTGACTTTGAGATAAAAATGTTTGTGAACGCAAACCATATAGTGGTCTTGTCAAGCAATGCCGGCACCATTGCGATTGACACTTGACGAATTGTATTAACGCAATAGCGTTATAGAGCTCGTTTCACAAAAGAAAAATAAATCGGTGGCGTCTTTGATTGAGAGCGAGAAAGCAGCGTAGACCTTGGGTGAAAATTCGAGATTGGTGGAAATAAAGATAGGAACCAGAGAGCGTTTGCACTTGGGCTATCTTTGCGCCACAGTTTAGGTATCCACCGAGAAGCGAAGGCAGCCTAAGCGACCCTGAAGATGTGTGTGCGCGTGTGCATGCGTGTGTAAGTGCGTGCGTGTACACGAGTGCGTGCTGATATTGCTATATCACCTTCAGCTCTTTCAACAAATCTTCGACTAGTTGTATAACTATAGGCCTATATGTTTCGTGATCGTGTCGGTTCCTATACAGAGGAAAGGAGAATCTTCGTTAACATTGTGGCATCCTTCTTTTGTTCATAAATTTCTTGATTGATTTGTGGGGTTTAACGTCCCAAAACCACCATATGATTATGAGAGACGCCGTAGTGGAGGGCTCCGGAAATTTCGACCACCTGGGGTTCTTTAACGTGCGCCCAAATCTGAGCACACGGGCCTACAACATTTCCGCCTCCATCGGAAATGCAGCCGCCGCAGCCGGGAATCGAACCCGCGACCTGCGGGTCAGCAGCCGAGTACCTTAGCCACTAGACCACCGCGGCGGGGCTTGTTCATAAATTTCTACCTTCTGGCCCAAAGCATGGTGAGAAACGACACTGACCTTACCTTACTTGCCTGACATTTACATTTCTCTTTATATTAGGGGCGAAACACCTTAGGGTCTGTAGAGATGCTCGTTGTCCGGCACATCATATTCAAGGTACCAACAATACGTCATGACGATGACGATGATGGCGATGAAGAATGAGCGTGTTCCAGACCACACGTTCTCTTTCTTCCATGTATGAAAAGAATCGTGAAAGCGCTCCCGCACACTAGAGGTGAAACGGTAACGTCGACAACGTACAAGCTGCTACTGCGGAGGTGAGAGCACGGCATGCGGTGGCTCAACGTCTATGCAGACAGCGAGCTACCTCGGAGGCGAGAGCTCGGGAAGCTGCGGCAAAGCGGCAACGCCGACAATAAGATGCTACCCTGGAGTTGAGGATGCGTGAAACGGTGGATCAATGGCAAAAACATGTTGTGTATACTGTACGCACGCGTTGTCAGTCTTTTACATGTGCGAGTGGGTTATGTCATGGGTGATTTAGTGTGTAAGAATGATCCCCAGTGTTTCACCGACCTGTCATAATTCGCTTCGGTGGAATGCGTAGACTTTCTCTCTATTTCACCCCCTTATACCCGTCCCCATGTGGATGGCAGCAGACTGGACGAAGTGGTGGTTGGTGGTAGTGGTTAGAAGAGGAGGAAGGCACACAATTTCTGCAACCTGGTATAGAAAACGGTGCAACGCCTAGGGCGAAGTTTAGTTGACATTAACAGTACGTTATGTTGGGCTAGTTGGTACATATTAGGCTGAAATACGTGGCGCAAGGTTGACAAAGAGAAAAAAGACGAGACAGAAAGAGCGCCAACTCACAACTAAGGTAATTTTCATGAAGCATTCGCAATTTATAGGCTCTTGGAGGACATGCGCAGACCATTTCATTCACCGCACGTGCAGACAGGAACATTTTTATGATGTAATAACCGATAATGGCGATCATCAAATCTGGGAACCACCAACAAACAGATATGCCTAATGTAAAGACGTCAAAAAAACCAAACGCACCCAAGCCTGACTTTTTTTTTTTTTGCGCAGGCTTGGGTGTGTTTGGTTTTTTTGACGTCTTTACATTAGGCATATCTGTTTGTTGGTGGTTCCCAGATTTGATGATCGCCATTATCGGTTATTACATCATAAAAATGTTCCTGTCTGCACGTGCGGTGAATGAAATGGTCTGCGCATGTCCTCCAAGAGCCTATAAATTGCGAATGCTACATGAAAATAAACTTAGTTGTGAGTCGGCGCTCTTTCTGTCTCGTCTTTTTCCTCTTTGTCAACCTTGCGCCACGTATTTCAGCCTAGTTGACATCCCTGCCTTTTGTGTATTCCTTCTTACCCCCTTTTCTGTCTCTCCTAATACGCAATATTTTTTTTCTTTCACTAACCATTTGCTCATTCTGGTGCCACAGGTCTGGTTCCAAAACAGGCGCGCCAAGTGGCGCAAGCGGGAAAAGGCCATGGGCAGGGACAGCCCGCCACCGATGGCGTCCTGCGGCGTGGCGTCCTCGATGGCGTCCGACCGCAACTTGGGGCCCTTCCTGCAGGCAGCGTGTGGCGTCAGTGCCGCCCGAGCCGAGCTGTTCGCCGCGGGGCCCTTCGGTGTAGCCGAGCCCTTTTGGGGCGCCCCCTCGGCCGCGCTGGTCGCGCCCGCCTGGCCCAAGCTCTACGGGGTCAGTTGCCCACATTTTTTTGCTCTTGGAGTATGTGCATAGTCAATGTTATAGTACATGCCACGTGCCTGAAATAGATGACGGACGAAGCTAGCTATCAGTTCGAGTTTCAGTATCTTGCCTTTGCGCCAGAACGACGGCAGCGTGATATACGTTACACCAGAGGTCGGCAAACAACGTGGAACTTACTCAGACTCATTCATGAAATAAGTTTTGCCCTCGTGACTCAATCGGTCTCCCATTCACTAGACATTTACTCAACCGTACTCATTCGGACGCAGATTCAATAAAAAAGTTTTCCCAGCAGGACTCGCCCGGGCTCAGACTGAACAAAATTATACTCACCCGGACTCACTCAGACTCAGACTCACGGCTCGACCTGAGTCTGAGTATGTGTGAGCCGACTCGTATGATTGGCTCTTTGAAAACATGGTGTCAATGCCCTTGAACACCATTATCTCGCATAATCAATTCTGTACTTGGCGCCTTTTGATCTGGTACCTTCAAACATGAGATGTGAGTGGTTGGAATATAGTGACCACATTTTCATTGAAAGAGATGACTCGCATGAGATATTTTTCTAAACAAGAATTTCACGTAAGGAGTTTTTGGAAGTGTGTGTGAGAAGGTTATGGCACCACCCTCCCCCTTCCGCCGTAAGTCATGCCTCTGATAAATAAATATTGAGCTGGCATGTGAACGCTGGTGCAATAAAGTATGTTTCAGTCGGCGCAAATATAAATGAGAGCCTACGCAAGGGTGATGAAAATGCTGTAGTTGAGCCAACGGTAACGTGACATAATATAAAGGCGCGACGACCCGCTTGACAAGACTCAATGAGACAGAACATCAACATGAGCATATGTTGCATCAAAGGACTGTACAAACATTATGGTATGCTTATCTTGGGGTTTCTTTCTTTCTTTCTTTCTTTCTTTCTTTCTTTCTTTCTTTCTTTCTTTCTTTCTTTCTTTCTTTCTTTCTTTCTTTCTTTCTTTCTTTCTTTCTTTCTTTCCTTTTTTCTTTTCAGACATCGTCAGACAATGTAGCCTGCTTAGCTTTCTCATACGTTTCTTATGCCTCCGCCTTTCAATTTCTCGAATAGGTTCATCACCGGCTTAAGTTTCAATTTGAAGTGTAGCACAACAACCGACAAACATATTAATTATAAAGTAAGATATTGTTACGCTGTAGCACCACGTTTGAATGCTGCCGCAGCAAGCTTGTATTATCAAAAAAACAAGGGCACATTCATGCTGTTATGAAACCCTTACAATAATATTGCGCTTTGATAAATATGACGTAGAATGGTTATTGATTGTAGAAAATTAAATTCGTTCTCTATGGATGCTAAGTATAGCACCAACTATTAATTGTGAACGTCAGAGTATGTGGTAGTCGTGAAACATGGTGTAGAATTTTCGCTCTTGTGTCTTACTACGGTCGGTTAGTTATATAGTTGTAGACAACTTGGTCACTGTATCGAGATTGAATTGATAGAATGTTGGTATTATAACAGCGAACAGACAACAGCAGCTGGCATTGATCATTGTGGAACCACTATTAGGCAATTCTAGAGGGAAAAAATGAGAGAAAGTTTTGTGAACGTTATAGCTGGCACTTTTGAGCTGGTGATGTGTACACATAGCCAAACTGATCGCAGTACATGCTGCCCGCCCTGCTGCCTGCCCCACCTTGTACTTCGGCCTCTGTTCTGGACCTCGGCTCCAAGAAGACGACGGCACACGCGAGGCTGCAGTTGTCTCCGCAGCCGGTGACCGCGCTTCCCACGTCGTCACCAGGACTCGATCTCCTCAGGGTCAAGGCGCGCGAGCATGCCGCCAGGAAGGTGGGCTCGGGGTCGCCCAAGTCCGCCTCGCCCGTTGCAGATCGGACCGAGCCATCTTGACTGAGCTTGCCAGTACACTCGTCTAGTGACGGCACTCGTCGCTTCATCCTGTCTCCGTGTCCTCCGAGGTTGATGTGACGTCACAATGCCCACACAGCGTGTGCGTCTGCCTGTAGACTCAAGGTTAGGTTCGGAAATTCAAGAAACTGAATTTTTCTTCTACGACAACATTACGACGCTTGAGAGTCACAAAAAAGTACTACTTTGTTTTGACTGTCGTTTTTTTCTTCGAACAGTGGAGCTGTTCTATGGCTGCGTGTGGATGAGTGTTAGCGTCACGTGTCACCCTCTGTTCTCAGATACGCCGATAGATGGCATAACTGCTGTTGTCACGAATGAAGCGCAGTGAAACGTGGGTGTGCGGCTCGAGCATGAATATGGCCTGAAGTCACAATAGCAGCTGTTGGTGAAGCAGAGGCTGCCGTACGCCCTTTCTCGTGCTTCTCTACTATTCAAATAACGTAGTCACAGACACCCACACCATATCGCTAAACATCGCAGGAAACCACAAAGGAAACACATAAGACCCACATCACCACTGTTTCTGCAGAGAGATGTAGATAAAAGGGGCACAAAAATACCAGGAGGTTAACCCATGCAGAGTCCGATAAGTTACACTGCACTTTATACAGGAGAAGAGAAAAGTTACAGTAGATTTCTAACTGAATGAATTTAGAATAATTTTATTCGGTATCACACGGAATGACATAAAAGGGCGCACGTGCGAGCAATATTTTGTACGAACTTGTCATTTGTAAGCAGCGCTACAAGAACACATTTACCAGAAGACACAAGAAACACAAGATTATTCATAAAGAAAGGGTAGTGATAGCGCAAATGTGAACTTCAGAGGGGCTTCTTTGATTGCTTCATCGTGGAGTTATTCGTCATATATAGTATATGAACGCCACCTCTGGAGCCACCGGTCTTCGCGTACGTTGTTATTGTTAAAAGTACTACCTGTTTTATTTGTTGTTTTTTGTCTCCTTATAAGGCAACAGTGGCGGACGTGACACTTGACTCTGGCAAACGTGCAGGATTATTGCAGGCCAGAGGCTTTGTCACCCTATACATTCCGTCTCTTTCATCGCGGCTTATCGCTTATGCATAGAAGCTACATCTAAAGGCAACACGAAGGCACTTCGACTGGCCATAGAAACAATTGTATACTTGATACTTTACCAAAGGGGCAGCATAATAAAAGAAAGCTGTTGCAGTGAAGGTTGTCTTTGTCTCATTGTTAGAGTCGCGAGGCATGGAAAGCAGACCAGAGATTCTACAACAATATTGCCTGTTTCACTTCTTGCCAATAAAGCATCTTCGTCTTACTCTCTCCTTACCAAGTAACTCCCTGAAAATACGGGGGAGGAACTAGGAAATGGACTAGGGACGTCAAGGTAATGTGCGTCCCTCACACTTGGGCTCTTTACATTTGGCGCACAAGTTTGGCGTACAGTTGTATAACATGATTCATCACCAAGCCAACAGTAGGCTTTAGCCTTCATGTGTTACAGTTGCAAGGGAGTTTAATAGCGACGCCAGGTAGTAGGCAGACAGCTCGTACGGAAACAAATGCTCGAGCAGTCCTGCGTCTACAGCTCGTGCACACGCTCGCGCTTCGCACTTAGAGATGGTCCTACTAGTCATTGCCTTGCGAATTCCCCACTACCATACCCCGGCGACGAAGACGAGCCATCCTGGCGACTCAAGGTGACGAGAGAACAGGAGGGTCGTAGCAGGGCTTGAGGCGACTGACGTGGACCGTCTCACGACCAAGGCGGCGCCTGTCCGTGGACGGCTTGAGCAGTGCAATCACATAGGTGACAGAAGAAGGGTGCTGTATGACGCGGTAAGGGCCCGTATACATAGGTGCAAACTTGGGAGTCAGTCCAGGAGAGTGGAAAGGCAGTCGGAGCCACACGAGAGAACCGACGGGGAAAGTTTCTTGAAGAAGATCACGGTCGTGGCGATCTTTTTGGAGGGCTTGATTAACGGCTGTAAAGGACCGTGCAAGCTGACGACACTCTTCGGCATGTTCGGCCATTTCAGAAACTGGGCTGAACTCGGAGGCATCAGGATTGTGTGGCAGAATTGTGTCGAGTGTGCTGCATGGGTCACGACCATATAGAAGAAAAAAAATGTAGAAAAGCCTGTTGTTGATTGAATCGCCGTATTGTAGGCGTACGTCATGAAAGGAAGGACAACGTCCCAATTGAAGTGGTCGGAATCAATATACATAGCGAGCATGTCTCCCAGGGTTCTGTTGAAACGTTCCGTTAGGCCGTTCGTCTGAGGGTGCACGGTAGGCTGTTGATGTGCGGTGTACCGTACGGCATGAATGTAGGAGCTGCTGCAGAACTACGGACAAAAATAAGCGACCTCTGTCACTCAGGAGCTCCCGTGGTGCACCATGACGAAGAACAAGCCGATGCAAAATGAAGGTTGCAACGTCGCGAGCACCAGCCGAAGGTAGAGCTGCCATTTCGGCGTGCCTTGTCAGATGGTCGGCAGCCACAATCACCGATCGATTACCACCAACAGAGCACGGTAGCGGGCTGTACAGGTCAATCCCACCACGGTCAAATGGGCGTGCAGGACATGGTAAAGGCTGCAGTTGACCGGGAGAATGAGGAAATGTCTTGCGCTGCTGACACAGAGAACATGAGCAAATCTGTTTGCGTACAAACGTGTATATAACATACCCCGCCAGTAGTAACGTTAGCGGATCCGCTCATATGTCTTTAGCGCATCAGCGTGTGCATGTTGTGGTTCAGCATGAAAATATTCGCAGATATCAGATCGCATATGGCTGGGTATGACTAGCAGCCATTTACAACCCGCCACTTGATAGTTGCGACGGTATAACAGGCCATCCCGTATGGCGAAATGCGTTGCTTGGCGGCGAAGAGCACGCGGGTATCCGGAAGTTGATGCGTCAGAAAACATATTCAAGAGCGAGACAATCCAAGGGTCCTTCCGCTGTTCGGATATCATGTCTGTGACGCTGACGGCAGAGAGGGGAAGGTCAAGGGCTGATATTTCTGTATCATCATATTTCACGGGTGATCGTGAAAGCACTCTGACGCAATGACTAGTGGGACCATCTATGAGTGCGAAGCACTCGGAGATGGTCCCACTAGTCATTGCTTTGCAAATTCCCCACTGCACAGTGAATATGACATGCCGCCGAACATTTTTTTTCAAAATGTGAATGATTTTCTTAGTCGGTTATGTCAGACGTCCGTCGAGGTCCGTCCACCGCCCTCTCCCATAACAACAGCAGCGGGCGCGTGCGCTTATCTTCGCCCTTAGCAACGAGAGCATGTGGTGTGAGAGATTGTAGGAGAGGGTAGATGCAGTGCTTCGCCATTCCTTCTTTTTCTCTTCACTCTCTCCTCCCTGCGTCCCACTTTCTCAGCCCGCTTGTGCCTCACTCTCGAAGGTTCGCTGTCTGGGCGCCTCTGAAGAACATCTAGAAATGTGTGCTCAAAACGCCGCTGTGAAACACCGAGCCGAGAACGCCGTTTGTTTTGTTCACTTCATAGTATTTTACAGTGCAGCGGAACCAATGGTATATTGTGGTGGCACCAGTACAAGCGCAATTACTTTGTCCTTGTTGTTTTAGGGCATGCGTGTTGAAGCCTCAACGTATAGCCGTCATCTTCATGAAAGAGAATGCGCGAGCACATGCAGATAGTCTTGTACTGCATGCATGTACCACACATGGGAGATGTGAAAATAAAACGAAGGAATGCTGTAGTTCCTGCCATGGTCTGCACTTCCGTCACGAATATGTTTGCCTTTATTCTCTCTTAGGGTTGAAGCTCCGTACAGTGTGTGTCGTTCCCTCCTCTGTATTAGTATGTTATAGTAAAAGCAACTTCTAGTTAGTTTTAAAAATTACTCACTAGATGACGTTGTGTGTATATGTCCTTGGAAATATCACTAGACGGCAGTAGTGATCTTTGGATAGTTGACGAATAAAGAGCATAGATGGTGCTGTTATAAGAAAGTCCCAGCATATCCGGAGGGAATGATGATGAGCAGGGTGAAGTGTCTGTCTATCCGTCCGTCCAATGCGTGCTCTTGTGTGATAAGAGCGGACGGACGGATGGACGCTTCGTTCCGCTCATCATCATTCACTCTTTGGATATGGTGCGAATTTTTTCGCTTTCTTTTTTATTTACATCCTATGTTAGGATGTTACAGCTTACGAGGATTGTTTTTGATAAGTACAGTTGCTACCAAAGGTTTGGCAGCATTCGGGAAAATCGAGGAACCTAACAAATTTTTGCGCAGATATGACTTGCTTTTTGCTATCTCGTGTGCCGTCGACACAAGACCAAGAGATGTGAGTGGTTTACACACTACACGGAAATAATTTTACGTAATAGATAAGCATGACACAGCAGGTTCACAAATGAAACTCGCCTGTCCAGTCGTTTGCTCTAACTACATACAATCATAAAGGATAGGCAAAGTCAGAAGTGCCACCACTCTCTCCTTTTATTCGCACATTCAGTCAATGCGTCGCGTCACATGTGCGATACAAGGTTGTTTGCCATGGTTGTGTTGCCTTTCATTAAGATAACCGCTGTACGGGCAGCGTGCATTAAAGTCCCTCTATATCTTAAAGTACCGCCATTCTTTTAACCGAGTCACCACGCCGCACATACTTCTCTCTCGCCTTTCGGGTCGGCACGAACATGACGCGTGTTAGCGTGACATAGCATTCTTGATTGGAAAGTGGCGTGAGCCGGCACCCGCAAAGCGGCCGTTCGGGAGAGGATATGGACACTTGAGAGAGGAGGTTTGCACACTTGGGAGAGGATATGGAGAGAGATAAATAGAGAGGAAAGGCAGGGAGGTTAACCAAGCTTGGCTCGGTTGGCTACCCTACACTTGGGGTGGGGGAAAAGGAGAATAATAGAACGGAAAGAGACAGAAAAGAAGAGGAGTAAGAAAGAGAAGCATGAATAGTCAGCTCGAGACTACACAGC